GTTACATCATTAAACACAGGCAAAACGGGTAACACCGGTAACGCCGGCTATCTGTTACATTTTGAATGTACGGCCAAAATCTGGAGATGATAGATTTCCAGCTATGAAACTTTAGTGAAATAAACTGGCTTATATAGCACTCCCTTCAATGAGTACGCGGAGTAGGATGCCAATAGCTTCAAAGTGGATGAACAAGTTCCTCGTCGGATTTATAGAGAAAAAAGAATAAAAGATTTTCAGGCCGATAACTTTTTCCAGAACATAGAACTTGTGTTTTCTTCGTCACATTAGCTTCAATCACTTCACTGATGATTGAGTCTTCAGAAGATATCAGAGAAACTTGTTTTATTATTTCTAAAAGTTAAACCGTATTTGCCAAACATCATTCAAGTTTCGTAAAACACCAGCCGTACAGCGAAATCTCACTATTTGTCCAGCTGATTTCACACAAAAAAATCACCGAAATCGACCAAACCAAACTCACAAATTTGAATCGCTGGTATGCAATGTCATGGAGCACTGTCATGAATCCGATTATTCCAAACCATACTAACCATGGTAAAATTCTATGTGACTGGTGTGCACCTGCTACCACCGACAGAAAAACTATGCTGAAAGGTAAACAGATAACCAGTTGTACGGAAGCATAACCCAGACTTACCTAAACATAAGAAAAGATAAGAAACCATGACGAACAACGATTTCTTCTTGCCGAGTAAGTTCTTTAAACGTTAATTTAGTAACAAATTTTGCAATAAGAGCAAGAACAGCAAAGTATGTATTGATAGATACCTAAAAAATGAGATAAAAACGTCAGATTAAAAAAAAACACGAAAATTTATAGCTCACCCATATCAAGGGACTGTTGCCTTTGATATACTGAACGGCTTGCACTACTGTGAGCGAAGAGAGATACTCTAGATCTTTCGGATCATATGTGGATGTCAATGAACTGTTGAGTATCTCTTCTTGAAGAAGTGATTTGATCTGAATATGAAGGTAAACTGCGAAGATAAGAAAAAGCAACAGCAGCTGCCACCACTCTTTCATCGAACTTCTTCCTACTTCGGGAAGTATTGGGATCGTAGTTTACTACAGTAATTATGCGAAAGACAGCTTTGAAAAACTCGCTTTATAGGTGCTCTTCCCAAAACGCACTAACGCCTGTTGCCACCTTCTGCGCATACATTTTAAGAAACGAACAAACAGAGCAGTCTAGTTCATTTCATCTAAATGTTATCATCACTTCGGTGACAGTGCATCCTCAGTTTCTGTAAATGGAGCGTGTGCGGAAAGGAGGAACGGCAAGCGGCACATGGACACTAAGGGTTTGACCATACATTACTGGTGTTACCAATGTTACCCGTATTACTAGTGTTACTCGTATTACCAGTGTTACTCCTGTTATTGGTGTTACCAGGGTTACTCGT